AGCGCGGCCATCCGGCGGCTGCAGTGGCGCGGCGGCGCCTCCGGGTGTCGCTGTTGGCCGCCGCCGAGCGGCGCTGGAGCCGCCGCCGCCGCCGCCGCAGCGTCCTGCCCCCGCAGGCTGCTCGCTCGCCCGGCGCCGGCCACAGCGGCAGCGGCACCGCCAACAGCAGCAGCAGCAGCGGCGGCGAGAGGCGGAGAGAGGCGGCGCGCCGAGCTCGCTGCGTTTGAGCGGTCTCTGTTGTCGCCGGCGAGAGCGGCTGGAAGGGAGGCAGGGCAGCGGCAGGAGGCAGGAGCGCGGCGAGCGCTGCGGGCAGAGAATGGCGGTGAGGCGGCGGCAGAGGCGCGGGCCGGGCGGCGGGCGAGCGCTGCTGGCCGCGGTGCTGCTGTGCGTGTGGGGCCGGGCGGCGGCCGAGCGGGTCCGCTACGCCATCCCCGAGGAGCTGGGCAGAGGCTCGCTCGTGGGGCCGCTGGCGCGGGACCTGGGGCTCAGCGCGGACGAGCTGCCGGCGCGCAAGCTGCGGCTGAGCGAGGAGAAGCAATACTTCACGGTGAACGAGGAGAACGGGAACCTGTACGTGAATGAGAGGCTGGACCGGGAGGAGACGTGCGGCGAGTCGGCGACCTGCTCAGTCAGGTTCGAGGCGCTGGTGCACAACCCGCTGAACGTTTTCCACGTCGAGGTGGCGATCGAGGATGTGAATGACAACTCCCCGACCTTCAGCAAGGCTGTTGTGGACCTCGAGATCGGTGAATTAATCCCTCCCGGTGCTCGTTTTCCTTTGGAGATGGCCCGGGATGCAGACGCAGGAGGTAACTCACTGCTGACTTATCAGCTCACCAGCAACCCGTCCTTCAGTTTGGCCGTGACAGAGAGCCCTGACGGAAGCAAGCAGCCAGAATTAGTGCTGGAGAGAGCCTTGGACCGAGAGAAGCAGAGCTCATTTGAACTGGTGCTGACGGCAGTGGATAGCGGAGAGCCCATGAGGTCCGGGACTGTCCAGGTTCGCATCAACGTTACTGACGCAAACGACAACCCGCCCGTGTTCAGTAAAAGAGTCTACGAGGCGAGAGTAGTGGAGAATCTTTCACTGGGGTCTCTGGTCCTCCGGGTACAGGCGACAGATGCAGACACGGGCTCCAACGGGCGGGTCTCCTACTCATTCGGCAACGTCCCGGACAGCATCCGTGCATTGTTCACTGTCGACAGCGACAGCGGCGAGGTCAGGACGGTGGGGCCCCTCGATTTTGAGGAGAAGAATAAATATATCTTCGGCCTGGAGGCGACGGACGGAGGCGGGTTAACGGCTCACTGCAAGGCTCAAATAGATGTCACAGACGAGAACGATAATGCCCCGGAAATCACCATTCTGTCTCTCTCGTGCCCAGTAGCCGAAGACGCACTGACTGGCACCGTGGTGGCCCTGCTAAAAGTGCGGGACAGAGACTCGGGCGAGAACGGTCAGGTGTCGTGCGAGCTGTCGGGAGAGGCGCCGCTGTCGATCGTGGCGTCGTCGGGCGGCTCGTACAAGGTGGTGACGGCGAGCGCGCTGGACCGCGAGCAGGCGTCCGAGCACCGCGTGACGGTGGTGGCCCGGGACCGGGGCAGGCCGGCGCTGTGGAGCAGCACGGAGCTGGTGCTGGAGGTGTCGGACGTGAACGACAACGCGCCGGTGTTCGAGGAGGCGGCGTACAGCGCGTACGTGGCGGAGAACAACGCGGCGGGCGCGCTGGTGCTGCGCGTGCAGGCGCGGGACGCGGACGCGGGCGCCAACGGGCGCGTGAGCTACTGGCTGGCGGGCGGCAGCGCGGGCGCGGCGGGCGCGGCGCCGCTCGTGTCGGTGGAGGCGCGGAGCGGCGCGCTGTACGCGCAGCGCTCCCTGGACTACGAGCAGTGCCGCGAGTTCACGGTGGCCGTGCGGGCGCAGGACGGCGGCTCGCCGGCGCGCAGCTCCACGGCCACGGTGCGCGTCTTCGTGCTGGACCGCAACGACAACGCGCCCCGGGTGCTGTGGCCGGCAGCGGCGGGAGGCGGAGCCGCTGCGGCGCCGGGAGAGGCTCCGGGAGCGGCGGCGACTCCTTTCGAGGTGGTTCCGCGTTCGGCCGAGGCCGGGTACCTGGTGGCCAAGGTGGTGGCGGTGGACGCGGACGCGGGGCGCAACGCGTGGCTGTCCTACGAGCTGGTGCCGGCGTCGGAGCCGGCGCTGTTCCGCGTGGGGCTGCACAGCGGCGAGGTGCGCACGGCGCGCGCCGTGTCCGAGCGGGACGCGGCCAAGCAGCGCGTGGTGGCCGTGGTGAAGGACCACGGGCAGCCGGCGCTCTCGGCCACGGCCACGCTGCACGTGGTGCTGGCCGAGAGCTTGCAGGAGGCGCTGCCGGAGCTGAGCGACAGAGACGCTGTGTCCCACCTGACGTCTGATCTGAACCTCATTCTTGTTGTGTCGCTCTCGCCGTGCCCGAGGCCGCTTGGCCGCCGCCGCCGCCGCCGGTGCCCATCCTGTCGGCGGAGGAGCTGCTGGGCGGCGATTCCTGCGAGAAGCCGAGCCTGAGTAGTAGCGCCGTAGGGGAGGAGGTGCTCGCCAATCCCGACCTACCCCAGGTCTGTAAATCTTCGCGCTTGCACATTTCGGATTGAGCCTTTCTAAACCTTCATCTTTCTTCCGCTTTGTTTCCCTGAGATGTGTCGCTGTCCTTCGGTGGTTACCATTTCTGGTTCAGTTTAGGGACTTTCACTACCTCTCCCATTTATATTTCTGGCTGTGAACCCGGTAAATTAATGGTGGTGGAGATTTTTCTTTCGACCTCTCTTTCCCCAAATTCATATAGTTGGCGTCTTTGTCAGACGGGTGGTTAATACTTTTTTGTTATGGGACAGCCAAAGAAACCATTCCCGTGACTCCATGAATCACAAAGTTACCTGTGTTTCCCAGCCCTCTTCTTTTTATCCTCCCATGTTTTATAGGTAAGCTGCTGCTGTCGAAAATGGTAGCTTTACTGAGGATGATTATTATTGTCGAGGAATTATTTATATTATGCCAAACGGGTAGCATTGCTGTTTCACAAGAAAATGTTGTAGACTGTTCTTCCCTAGTAAGTATTTCCAACTTCAGATATATGTCCTTCTGTCTTTTGCAAAGGCTGGTGTAGAAATGGCAGCAATAGTGGGATGGATAAATTGTACCAGGACTGGCTTTTCCCGACCTTTGTAAAGTTCTTTTTTTACCCTGTAGAATGTAATTATCAATTCCTTTTACACAACACTGCTGGTTCGTGGCGGACTTCTGTTAAAGGAATTCAAGTTTGTAGTAGTGTTCACTTTCCCCTGAAATGTAGGTATTTTTGCCATGAAAGATTGTTCCTTTATGATGATGTAGTACAGTGTCTGTCATATTTTGTGGTTTGGTTTTTGCAGAATGGGGAGCCTAAGCGGGATATGTTACTTATTCCAGGATTCCAGGCGTTGTTTCTCTCTGCAGGTATTTTTCTTCTGCTTTGCTCTTTATTTGGTTTGTTAGTTGGTTTTTTGTTGATTTAATTTTTTTTTCATCTTCGGTTGTAGTATTCTGTATTGAAGGAAGCAGTGAAGGTGCAAAGGAAGCAGTGAAGGTGCAGAGGGATATCAAAAGAAAAAAATGTAAAATTCACAGGTGTAGGCTCAGTGAGTAGATTTTTGCTGTTCTACTTCTGCAGAGTAAAATAATAGAAGTGTTTTGAAACTGTGCTTTTGATTCGTTACACATATGGGTTCAGCTGAGAATATTTGCCTATGAATATCGTCTGAATTATTAGGAGTTGCTTTGCTCCATAAAATGAAATGCTTTCCAAAATCTGTCTTTCCAAAAGCAATGTACTTGGACATGGTTTATATTTGGGTAAAACCCTGTCGGTTAATGCTTTTGAGAAATTGGACTTCCAAAGGAAGTGTGTGGGGATCCATGAAGAGGAATTTAGAGCTTGTTTCTCTGCCATGTGCCTTCCCATCTTTTGAGGCGTTGAGCAAATGATTACACCATGCGACAGATTTCTTTTGTCCAGTTATTATTTAGCTGGAGTTGAGCCATAGAATAGATCTCCGAAAGTAAAAACATCTGTTTTGTGCTTCAGAGCCTGTTTTCTATTTGTATACCTCTTATTCCGAAGAGACATTTTCTTTATTATGGGTTTTGGGTTTATTTTGGAATGGATCACCGAGTTCCTCTGCACGGCTGGTGCTGCTCTCTAAGAGAGAAATGTGTAATCGAGTAATGTGTGCAATCACGAGCTGTAGTATTCCAGGTTACAATGAGCAATTTGAGAGTGATGGTAGGAGAATGAAAAACAGCACAGGCTGATTCCGAGCATCCAACGATGCAGGTGAAAACTTACAAAGTCCATAAGGAAGATCAGTCCTTTAGAAAGACTCACTTTGAGGGGGGATCGTCATCACTGCAGTCTGGTATGGTGGGGTTTGTTAGACCAGTGTCACCGATGACATTCCAGTTTGAAGCCGTTTTGGTTTATACAAAGGCAAAGACAAAATAAATCAAACAAGACAGCCGCAACAGCTGTGCCATTCGTATCAGAAATAAGGGTTTGGAACGACTAGGGTAATAGTTGTAATATTTTACATGCCATATTAAAAGAACTTTGTCATAAACCAGGATTTCAGGAATATTTTCCAATGTGGTAAATGTAGTAGAAACACAGGAGTTCTATAATTGACGTCTGGTAGGGATCAGCTAAAGGATCGAAGACGGGATCTGCTGGAGAAAAGCACAAGCCACATAGTCCCGCCTGAACGGGACCCCACGACTCAGTGACGACGGTGTCACCCCCGCGAGCTGTCCGTGTGCCAGGCAGGGCGGGCAGCGCTCGGCAGCGCTCGGTGCCTGCAGTGCCGAGCGGAGGCTGCGGGCGCCGCTGTTGACCGAGAGGAGCGAGAGGAAGCTCGGAGCGCTGCAGCCCCGCCCGCTGCGCACCCGCTCGGTTCCTGGCGCGGAGGACCGGCGGTCTGCGATCGCCCGACTGTGCGGAGCCGTAGGGAACCGAGGCCGACGGACTGCCGGGACCGGCTGGAGGGGTGATTCGGCTCCAAATCTGTGCCGAGGATCTGCAAGCCGTGTTGCGGTGTTGCGGTGCCGCGGCGGAGATGTGCGCGGCGGGGAGGCGCTGGGGCCGGCAGCAGCGAGCTCTGCTCTGCGCCGTCCTGCTGGCGGCGTGGCAGGCGGCGTGGGGGCAGCTGCGCTACTCGGTGCCCGAGGAGATGCCCAAGGGCTCCTTCGTGGGCGACGTGGCCAAGGACCTGGGGCTGCCTGTGCTGGCACTCCGAGATCGCGGTGTCCGTATTGTCTCGGCAGGTAGTACGCAGTATTTTGCTCTGTACGGGAAGACGGGACATTTAGTGACAGCGGCGAGGATCGACAGAGAGCAGCTGTGCGAGGAATTGCAGCAATGCGTGCTGCGCTGTGAGCTGATAGTGGAAGGGGAAATGCAGATTTACGGGATCCAAGTGGACATCACTGACATTAATGACAACGCTCCGAGTTTCAGAGAGCCAGAAACAGAGCTGAAAATTATCGAAACAACAGCCCCGGGATCGCGGTTTCCACTAACAGAGGCTCAGGACCCGGACTCGGGCCGGAATTCCCTGCAGAGCTACGAGCTGAGCGGCGACGAGCACTTCTCGCTGGCCGTGCAGGCGGGCCCCGGCGGCGATCAGCGTCCCGAGCTGGTGCTGGCCAAGGCGCTGGACCGGGAGGAGGCGGCGTTTCACGAGCTGGTGCTGAGGGCGAGCGACGGCGGCGATCCGGCACGGACGGGCACGGCTCGGATCCGCGTGACGGTGCTGGACGCGAACGACAACGCGCCCGTGTTCAGCCAGGCGGAGTACACGGTGCGTGTGCCCGAGGACGTGCCCGTGGGCTCCACCCTCCTGAGCATTCCGGCCACAGACGCTGACGAGGGGCTGAATGGGGAAATTAAATACTCGTTTAAGAAAATCACAGAGAAATCCTCGCAGATTTTCCAGCTGGATAGCGACACGGGAGCGATCAAGCTACTGCGGAGCCTGGACTTCGAGGAAGGCGACTCTTACAAACTAGAGATGCAGGCACATGATGGGGGTGGCCTTTTTGATACGACAAAAGTCGTGGTCACTGTGGTAGACGTCAATGACAATGTACCGGAGATTTCGGTGCGCTCGGCCCTAAGCGAGATCTCGGAAGACGCCCTCTCGGGAACTGTCGTGGCCCTGCTGCACGTGAGGGACAGGGATTCCGGGGCTAATGGCGAGGTGAGCTGCTCGAT